AAAGAAATACAAGCCATGAGTCAGTGCAGCCACCCCAACGTAGTGACCTATTACACCTCTTTTGTGGTGAAAGATGAACTTTGGCTGGTTATGAAATTGCTAAGTGGAGGTAAGTGGGTTTTGTTGCTGGTCTCGGGCTGTTTGCATTTTTCCTGCCCCTCTTTCAGGATGCAACATACTAAGACTAGATCCAGTCCTCTCACACATGTTAAAAGTTTTGCTTGGTTTTTATTGCCATTGATTGCAGATTTCTTGACTTGATGGCACCTAACAACAGCAGCAACAACAATTGCAGGTATCTTGGCACTGGCATTCAAAACTTCCATGATTTAGTTTAACGAATCTCTCTTTCTATCCAGGTATTGAAACCCCAGAATCTTGTTCCGGATGAGGCTGCTTAAACACCTTCTCCTGTGCTGTTCTCAACTCTAGATGATTCTTTCTTCCTTCAACCTGTTCTCTAGCCCTAAAAAGCTACATCCCACCTGCAGCCATTTCTGACTCTTTTAAAGAGTTAACTCATCCTTCCTCTTAAAACCCTTTCCTTCCTTTAAGTGTATAAAATGTATGTTCAATTCAATAATAATTTTGTTTGTCCCGTTGTTCAGCCATCACATTTATTCATTGTCTTAATTTTCCTTCACCCTTAACGGAAGCTCGCTCAGTCTCCACTCACCAGCCAATTCCTCTTCCTCCCCTTTGTCTTCTTCTGCCCCTAGTAACCACCGCTAAACTCTGATCTCCATACAGTTGCCTATACCAGGTATTTCTTATAAGTCAGATCATTCAACATATGTTCTTTTGTTACTGACATATTTCACTAAATGTAATGTTTTCAAGTTTCACCCATGGCACATGTATTAGGACTTTATTGCTCAGTATGACTGAGTGATATGCCATAGGGTGTCTGGGCCATATTTTCTTTACTCTATGTTGGTGGATCTTACGATGTTTCCATCTTTAGAGTATTGTGAACATCAAGGTAGGGAACATTAATATACAAGTATCTGTTTGCATTCTGGCCCTCAGATATTAAAGTCTTTGTTTTTACCATAGCTCTAGAACTTTACACACCCCCGTCCCCCAATAGTTGATTTACGAAATTCTAATAGAAATTCGAACACATTCTTTCAATTTCCCTCATCTCCCCCCCATCAAATTGTACAACCCAATGATTAATTCCCTTGCACATCCACATCCCACTGCTTCCAGCCTCTCCCACCCCTCCTGGATCCTTATACTCATTCTACAGTAACGGTTTTGTACAATATTTATTCTTGTGGGACTGAGTTCATTCAGCATAATGCTTTCCAGTCCCTCCCAGATTAGGTAATAATTTACAAAGTTATTGCTCCTGCGTGCTGCATAGTATTCCATTGTGTGATTGTGCCATAATTTCTCAATCCATTCGTTTGTGGTTAGACATTTGGGCTGTTTCCATGTTCTTGTGATGGTGAATAGTGCTGCTATGAACATTGGTGTACAAATCTCAATTTTTGCCTCAGTTCTCATATTCTCAGGGTACATTCCAAGTAGTGGAATAGCTAGTTCATAAGGAATTTCTCTGTTCTGCTTTTTGAGGAAGCGCCAAACTGCCTTTCAGAATGGTTGCACCATTTTACAATCCCACCAAAGAGTTAACTTTTTGTGATGATAGAAATGTATTATAGCTGTACTGCCCAGTAGCCACTGGTCACCTCTGGCTATTGAACACTGGAAATGGGGCTAGCGTGAATGAGGAATTGAATTTTTATTTTATCTTTAATTAGCTTATATCTAAATTTTGAAGGCACTCTAGTCGCAGACTACATTACATGTTGCACTGCCATGAAAAGTCAGCTATTGGATCCTCTGGTCGTTTCTGGGGGAAGGTCACCTGCTGTAAAGATTTATAGCCTTTCAAGAGTTGCTAACCTAGTGCCTTCAGTTCTTAGGTGGTTCAAATTCACTGTGTCTTTGAGAGAGAAAGATGGACAGTCTTCTCCCTTACAATTGAAGAAATCTGCTATAGGGTCAGTGGTGAATTGCTCCTGACTCAGTGGCAGTGAGTGCTTTGTGTAGCCAGTGGCCGTGGACAGTGTGGATTTAAATTATAAACTACATGAATAAAGAACTACCTAAAGCACTTCTGACTCATGAAGGGATATTCCTGGGTGCTGGATAAATATGCATGCTAAGTAATTTGCATTCCATACAAGTTAGAAGTTAAGTTACTTACAGTCAGTTTTGTATTTGGGAAACAAAAAGAACTTTTCCTCTCTAATGCAAGTCTGAAGTTTACAAGGTGCTTTCATGTCCCTTATTTTATTGCTTTTAATCTTTTAACCTCATTAGAAGATAGATGATTATAATGATAATGCTTCCCCTTATTAAATACATACTCTGCAGCATTATAGTTCAAAGCAATTTACTTACCTTATCTCATTTAATCTTGACAACCACCCTGAATGGTTAGGTGTCACCATATCATTTTCCTAAACAAAGCCACAGCACAAAGGAGTTAAGCAGCTTGGCCAAGGTCATACATGCCATAATTCTTAGTGTTGGAATTTGTGACTTTAGAACCTGCTTACTTAAAAACTCCATGACACTGTATAATCATCACTTTCATTTTATAGACTTGAATACTGAATCTTAGAAAGGCCAAATGATTTTTTCTTTTTTTACAGTAACATCTATCATAGCCAAACCTCAAATATATTCCCTTTCCAGGACTTTACTTCATGTCTTTCTTAGACAGGCAGAATGGCCTATCAGAGCATTTTAGAATATAGTACAGAGCGTTTTGTGGTTCCCAGACAAAGCCACAGCTGGCTGACCGTGCAGCATTTACTATAAGAGTCCATATTTTTTTCAATCTGCAAATCCAGTTGTAGCTAAATCTGAATCAGAGAGGCATCCTCTCTCCCTGTCTCTCTTCTCTCCTCTTTTAAAAAGAAACTACCGTGGGTCAAGTAGAGATACAGAAATAAGATGATAAAGTCTTTGTAATTAGCTTGGGTCTTCTGCAGGTCTCAGTAGGGAGCCTTGAGAGAGCTTAGTTCTGTTCTGTTTTCAGTGTTAATCCTGTTAGTCATTGTTTCATGGAGTGCTTACTTTGCTGCTTTTTAATTAAAAAGGAAAAGAAAAAGGAAGCTTGCCAGAGCCATATTGCAGTGTTGAGTGTCCTACTCCCTCACTCTTTGGAGGCTCCTGCTTGGCCAACGAGATTGTCTTAACCTACTCTTTCCTTGGGGAGCTTCCCCAGCTCTGAGGAAACCAGTTCTGGTGGCCTGGGACATAGTCTTAAATCGTCCATAAAAGTTTTTTATCCTTGTTTTTATCCCAACATTTTCAACTTTCAGATTATTCCCATTTCTGTTTTTGAGACCCTGATGTAAGATTCCATTGTATTTCTAAAAGACTTGAGTCTAATCTTTCTGAGCTGTGAGAGGAACAGGCTTTGAACAAGTTTCTACAGGTGAGGTGAATGTGGGCTGATGTGGACTCTTGCTCATATTGCACTCAGCAGGCCAGAAATGCATGCACACATGGCATGGTGTAACTTTGTAAAATGTAAAAAAGAAAAAAAACAAGTGTTTGAGATTACTGTTTTCTAAATGATCCCAAACCCACAAGTCAATAAATACACAGAAGTTCTGTATGTCTCTGAGCAGGATAATATGCATTTATTTTCTTTTGCAACATTCTATCACATTAGTTCTTTTAATGAGGGGTAGATAACTAGTCTAGTGTAGCAATATCGAATGGGAAAACTCAATCCTCTTCATTAATCATAGAGGGCCTGGAGCTAATTTCAGGTCCTGAGGTAAGCCATTTGTTCACTCTTCAGAAATGTTGAACCTTAGGTAATTAAGGCTTTTGAAATGACCTGGAGGTTTGGAATATTAATTAATATGTGATGAAACATGACTTCACAGTGTCAAAGATATAAATCTGTTTATAGTAACAATGGACTGGTTATTTATTTATTTATTATGGAAGTCAGTACATCAACCACCAGATAAATGAAAATAAAAATTGCCTAGAGCCATAGAAAAGAATGTTTTAGTTAGAAACTGAGATCCAGATGCAACATACTTTTCCCTCTCTGACCCTTGGCCATGTTTTTGACATTAAAAAAAGAGCTTCATTCTCTCTCAGAAGCTCTCTGCTGTCTGTCCTCTTGGACTTCTACTCTTTTCCTTTTCAGGGCTGTTACCTTGAAGCCTCTTTTAATTCTGTAACTAATTGTATGTCTAGGGATAAGGGACCAACTCTGAAGTGGCCCAGAAAAACCTGGGTTCTTGACCTAGAATCCTTCTCAATGTCCCACTGAACATGCGCTTGCAAACTTGGATTCAGAGTTTCAGGTCACAGAGCTACCCTGCAAATGTTAGCCAGCCAAGGGAGTATTTGAATTGCATAGACAGAAAATAGATTTTGCTCTTTTCATTTCTTTTTTTTGTTGAAATAGTGGAACTCTATTCAGAAAAGTTAATAAGGGCTCCTACAGAATTACTTTTTTACTTCTTCTATTTGTCCGCATAGGTTCAATGTTGGATATCATAAAATACATTGTCAACAGAGGAGAACATAAGAACGGCGTCCTGGAAGAGGCAATAATAGCCACAATTCTGAAAGAAGTTCTGGAAGGCTTAGACTATCTCCACAGAAATGGTCAGATCCACAGGTACGGCATCTCAGGAGTGTTTCAATTCAAGTGTTTATGTATACTGTTTTACTTTATAATGAATTCTGAGGAAACACTGACTGTAGATAGTTACTAACAAATCCATTGCGATGGAGTAGATTTCAACTCAGAGCAGCCTTCTTGGACAGCGTTTAATTGCCTTATCGTTGTTCCCAATGCCATCATCTTTATGGAAGCCAGCTGCCATATCTTTTTCCTGCAAAGTGGCTAGTCCATTCGAATTGTCAACCTTTCGGTTAGCAATCAAATGCTTTAATCACCATACCACCTGGGCTCCTAATATAAACTGGACAGATGCCAAAGTACCTAGGTAAGAAACAAGAGACTGTATATTGATGAATTAAGTTAGGATCCTCAGAACTGATTTATTTGCTTTCAGTGCAATGGAGAATAGAAAAAGAATGAATGAGTTTTTAAAAAATTAGCAGAAAGCAATATTAAAGAAAAAGTATGAATGAATGATTTTTTTCTTTTTTAAATTAGCTCTCCTTACTCTTGAAATGTCTTCAGTTGCACCTGATAGCATCTCTGACTTTCTACACTTGATCTTAGCCAAAAGGCTGAGAAGCAATTCTCACTTTCTAATATAGGCAAGAATGTTCCAAATATTTTAAAATATTAAGTTTCTTGACATGGAGGTGAGAAGGAGGGAGGAAGCAGTAATTTTATTTCCTTTTTGACATAAAATACTAGTATTTTAAATAGTCAGGTGGCCTATAATGTGCGTGACCCGTTGTTCAGAAGACTTAACGGTAAGTGCTTAACAGTTTAAGTAAACAGTAATTTATTGTAATATTATAATTTTGTAATAGTATTTTAAGATTACTACTGAGTTTGGTATCATTTTAGTGTCCTAAAGTTTAATATACAGAGCTCTGATACTTAGTGTGGTAAAGAGGCTGCCAACTCAAAGGCCGTCTGTTCGAATCTGCCAGCAACTCCATGGGAGAAAGGTGGACAGTGTCCTTCTGTGTGACTTACAGCCTTTGAAAACTGCTAGAGGGTCAGCTGTGAGCTGGCTCCAGCTTGACAGCGCATAACAACATCAACAAAAAGTTCATTATAATAAATCTGTGTCTGCCTGAAAGACCTGCTCCTCACCATTTCACAGATGAGGTTTAGAGATAGTTTGTTTCTCAGGCCCCATTCCCCTGTCCTTGTGCTTGACGGGTACACAGAGCACCTCCTTAGCGGTGACCTAGTGGTAAGGAGTGCTGCCCACGAAAGGCAGCCCTTTCAAATGTGCCAGTCATGCAGGGGAAAGATAGGCAGTCTTCTCCTTTGCTATTTACAGCCTCTGAAGACCAGCTGGAGGGTCAGCTTTGAGGGCATTTTGACTGCAGAGCACATAACAGGAATAAACCACATTGTATTTGAGTAAATGTAACATTTCGAAGCTAGGAAGAACTGTAAGTGAGCTGTATACTTACCGATATTTCAGTAATTTAGAAGGCATAGTCCTGTAGAAACTGGTCTTTTAGATTGTGAATGGTTGGCTTTTTAAAAACTCAAGCTTTTATGTCTACTCAGCACAGCTTCTATGTAGTAAAGAATATAGTATATTATGTAATATTATGGTAACTATCGTACAACTGTTTTCTAACCAGAGATCATAAGAAATGTCAAAGGAGAGATTGATTAGTGAACTGTTTAAGGCAGTGATAGGATTAATTTGAAATTGCACCCAGAGACAAGTTTAAGCGGAAGCTGAACAGCTCTCATTAGACTGGGCTTTAATTCTTGATCAAATAACAGTATTGTGATTTTATAGCTAATCTCTAATTCTGTAACAAAGAATTTACACACTAGTCACTTAATGAAATATGGATGCTAGTTTCACGTAAAATACGTTACTAAAATCCCAGCCATCATCCATGAGCAGAGTGTAAAATCATAAGTGTCTGCTTGAAGTTTTTCAAGTCTGTGGTATAATTTCAAATCTAATGTAGTTATAATAATTAGGTCAAGCTGCTGTATTATAAGTTTAAAATCTTCCAGTGTGAATTGATGTCCTACATTGCTGGATTCCATAATTAATATTTTTCTTCCTTTTCTTTTAAAAGGGATTTGAAAGCTGGAAATATTCTTTTGGGCGAGGATGGTTCGGTACAAATAGCAGGTAAATGGAGAAAGGTGGATTTTCTATATTGTTTATAGAAGTGCTACAGTTTCAAAGGAAATTAGGAAATGGATAAATGCACATGATGTGATCTCTTTTATAAATGCATCAGGGCTCTCCAGCCTTGCATAGCATACGCTTAGAGAAGGTTTGGGCAAAGGCATTAATTGTGTTCCTATTTCGGACAAATCCTTGTTAAATCATTCTATAAATAATACCATTTTATTACATGTTGTTGTGGTGCTGTTGGGTCAGCACAACTCAAAGCAACCCTGTGAACAAAAGACCTGAAACCTTTTGATAAAGAATAATTTTACTTTCAATTCTGTTACATGTTCTACTTTTCAGGTTCAAAAAGTGATATTTTATGTAGGGAAGCATTTTTGAAAAAAAATTTGATGCATTTGATAGTTCAGAACTCTGCGTGTTAACTGAGAATTGTGGGTTTATTTATTTATTTTTTTAATATTCTGAATAGGTGGTTGAAAGAATAATGCCCTTTGAAAATCTAGGATTTATTTAACCCTGAAAGTTGATTAAACGTGGCTATTTTAGACATTTGTGGGCGTAAGGATGTGGCGAGTGTTGAGTGACTAGATCAGTCCATGTTCTAAGCCTTTTTTTTTTTCTAAATTGCCAGTAACTCTCATTTCATCTCACATCGAAGGATCACTGAAGCCTTTGAAGCCATCAGAGCTTCTCAGTGGGGACAGTTTCAGCATTTTGGCAGGATGGTCCTTCCCTGTGCTGGACGGCCCTTCTCACTGCAGGACGGTCGGCCTCCAGTTTGCATGTGTTGAATGTTAGCAGTGTCTCTCGGTATTGCCATTGGTGGGAATTGTTGACGTTGATGTCTGTTACTGCAGAATGTTAGAACTTGCCCCAATTTTTCATCAGCTTAGTCTTTTTATTTTTGAGTTGGAGTGGGATCTTATCTGGATTTCAAGGAAGAGGTTAAGGCAAAATAGCTGAAGGAAAGGAAAAGTCAATCCTAGTCTTTAATCCTAGTTTTGTCTCCATGAGTCAGAGCATCTAGGCAGTATTATTAGAAATGCAGGAGCTCATCAGAAATCAAACAATTCATCATCACAAAGGATAACCTTACTGTATCTCCTTGTCTTGTAGTTCCCCCCCCCCCCCCCCCTTAGAATAAGCACCACAGGAGCCTTGGGCTCTTTATTTGCAGCTGTTTGTTTGCAAGTCAGTTCTGACCCATAGTGAGGCCTTATGATGGCTTAGAACTGCCTTATAGGGTTTTCTAGACTGTAATCTTTGAAGGAGTGGACTGCCAGGTCTTCTTTCCTACAGAGCTGTGGAGTGGACTTGGATTTGAACCACAGACCTTTTGGTTAGCGGATCAGTTACTTAATGGTTCCTTTGGTTCTGCATTTAAGAAGCCACACTTCAGGAGTCTTTGACTTTCTTTTTGTTTTAAGAGGGTAAATTTTTTAAAATACAAAAGAAAAGTGCAGATTTGTTTCAAATTAAACATATCTTCCCTGGGGAACTAATAGTAAAGTTGTTTATTTTGTTCTCCCTGGTGAAATGCTAGATTCACTCAAACACAATGGTTTGTTTAAAACTACTGCAGAGACACTCTGTCAGTTAAGCGTAAGGATTTTGCAGTCAGTCCTGAGTCTGATTGAGCCTCAAACTCCATGTTTAACCCTCCTCAGTTTCCTCGTCTCTGAGATGGGGATAATATGGCCTCTGTTCCAGGTACATACAAATGTGTTTGTAGCTACAAAAGCTTGAACCTCAGGCCCCTGTTCCACAGAATACTTCTTGGAGTTACAGAGAGTTCTAGGTGAAGAGAGGAAATCAGTCTGCACCTGGAAAGTGTTTCTGTGTAAGCATTTTCAGTCAGTTCTCTAAAAATACCTTTGAGGGAAAGACCTGGCTCTGTAAGTTACAGTGAAGGGATAAGGATCTTTCCATTCCAAAAACGTACTCACACGTTTCCCTAATTTTGTAGTTTTTATTTTAAAGAGGGCTCCTGTCATTGGTTAAACTTGATGTTCCATGAAATCTGCATATACCTGCCCCTTTATAGAATGGCTGCAACAAATGAATATAAATGTTCAAAGTGCTCACCCAGCAGAGTGGGTGATGGGTAGGAATAGATGGTTAAATGCAACAGAAAGCAAAGTGACTCTCAGACACAGGAAGATATGCACAACTTGACTCATAACAGAAAAATTCAGACTGAAATGACATTGGGATGCCATTTCTCACATGTGCAACGATTTGACAGCATTCTGTTGATGAGTCCTTGAATAAGTAGGTATTTTTTTTTGTTTAATTTCTTTTTTCTTTTTTAATTTATTGAGATTTTAATGAAAGTTTATAGAGAACTTGGATTTCCATTTATTCATCATTGCACATTTTCCTCCCTGTCCCCCCTAACCCCCAGTTCGCTTTTTTCTTTGGGAAAAAAGTTATTTCACTGTTACACACACCCCTCACCTCCCTTACTATGCATCTCTTATTCTGGACTCTGTCATGTCAATAATACTAATCATATATTCCTTTTATACAGTTCTCTCCCTTGTCTGTTTAAATGCCGTGTACATTATTTATCCCCTTTTTTTCTTTGTTTTCCCCAACCCCCATGTCAGCCCTGTTTTATAACAGTGGCATTATGTAGTATTTGTCTTTTTGTGACTGAGATATTTCACTCAACATAATGTTCTCTGTGGTCACCCATTTTATATAATATTTCATGAAATCTTTGTTTTTCAGTGCTGCATTAAAGTAGGTATTTTTGTCCCCTTGGTAGCAGTTCCGTGGGGTGGAATGTGGTTTCTCCATCAGATCCAGGCATTGACTCTTTGACCCAGTACTATAGTCATATGCTAGAGCCAGCTCACAGGATCCGTTGGTGTTTGTATTTTCCTCACTCTGTGTTTAGTGAATGCCTGTCGGCCTCTTGAAATCAGCCATGGTGGGAGTGTATGCACCATGGAAATCAGCAGATGTTACAGTGGGGCTGATTTGAAGGCAAACTGGTTGGTGGTTAAACATTTACTCCCAGTGCCCTGCAACCACTTTACTACAGAGAATCTGGCCTCCAAGTATCCCCACACAAGACTGGAATGCCGTGTGTACAAGGTTATTTACTGGAACAGTGTGATAGCAAGAACTTGGGAACACTTCCGTGTCCTGGTGAACATATGGTATAGTCAGAGAATGGAGTATTTAACAGCTGTAAAGGAGAGAGGGAGAAGCTCTCTGTTCACTGATGTGGAGGAAAAAATTCCTCAGACTCTGTGGTTAAATGGATCAAACAAGGTGGAGAGCAAAGCAAGTGCTGCTTTTCAGGCAAGAGATAAGAATGTTTGTGTAGATACATGCATTTTCACAAAGCAGCAGCAGAAACAGAATCAAGTGGGGAGGAGGGAGACTAATATACGTATTTTACATCATTTTAAAGTTGAAACTATACAAAAGTATGATCCTGTTAAAAAATGGCTCTTTGAAGAAAATGACCCAATAAACTTAAACTCTGAATAAATGAAGTCCCCAAACTCACTGCCTTTGAGTTAGTCTTGGCTCATTAATAGCTCTATAGGACAGAGTGGAGCTGCCCCAAAGAGGTTCAGATGTTGGAAAGAAAATTTATATATATGTATATATGTATGTGTATATGTATTTATTTTATCCTCCTCCACTTTTTTTAAAAAAAAATTGATCTGCCTATAACCACCCTATACACTTGACCCATGGACATTGTGCCCCACACAATCTGAGGCTGTAAATCTTAAGGGAATTAACAGCCTCAGCTTTCTCCTGAGGAGCAGCTGGTGGGTTTGAACTGCTAGTATTTTGATCGGCCGTGCCACCAGGGCTCCTAAACAAAGTGACAGTTATTTTAAAACCTTTTATTATAAAAATACACACATCGCTCAAATTTAAGAGAGGAGTAGAAGGAACTCTGATGGCTTCGGCACCCGCTTCAGTAATTATCATTGTCCATTCTTAAGTCATCCATCCCTTCTTTCTTACATTGCTGTTGTGGTTTAGAACCATCAAGTCCAAACCACCTTGTACCTGGACCTCTAGCAGATTTTCAGAAGCTGTAAATCACACCTTTGCCCATCTTTCTTCTGTGAAGCATCTAGTGGATTTGAACTGCATGTCCTTCGGGTGACAGCGCAGCTGTTTACCACTAGGTCACTAGAGTTGCCTTACCTACATTATTGGTACTCATGAATATAGTCATAACTGCTGAATTTTGTTCTTGAGCTATCTAAGCAAATGCCTTATGCACATATTTCATCCTCACCCTACAGGCATGGCCCTTATCCTATAGTTGAGGTATGGTTTGAGAAAACACTAACTAAACAAGTAACTGTAAACAGTGGGCAGATATTTCACACTGTCCAGCACCAGAGTTGCATAGTTGCTAAGAGGGCAGGCTCTGGGATCAACAGACTTGATTAGACGTCTCACAAATACCATGTTACTCTTGAGTTGATTCTGACTCCTGGTGATATGTGTCACAGGAAGAGAGTGCTCTATTGACTTTTCAATATCTGATAAGTTTTGGAAGTGGATTGCCTTACTGTTGCTCTGAGGTATTCTTGGGTGGACTTAAGTCTCCAACCTTTTAGTTAACTTGTTTCTCGGTTGAAACCCACACATAACTGACCCTCCACTGGGTGTCCGAGGCAATACATCACTTGGGAGGAGCTGGCCCATCTTTCTCCCATGGAGCAAGTGGTGAATTTAAACCACCGAAGAGGCTCAGCCTCTGAGTTCGCTCCTTTGAGTTAGCTGTGCGGTTCCCTCCAGACTACATTGCCAGAAGTCCCTGTGCAGCAGCCGAGCCCAGGAAACCTTCTGTTCCATGCAAGGGCTTCTTGAAATTCTCAGGCTCTCACTTACTAGTTCTTTTGCTTTGGGAAAGTTATTGAATCTCTTTGAGACTTCCTTAGGGATAAAAGATGCAACCTACCTTCTCCTTTGAAAGGGACATCATGTTTGGAAAGGTAGAGGAT